TGAGCAAGGAGACGCAGAGCATCTGTCCAAGCTGTCAGTTCTATGTAGTGAGTTTTATATAACCTTTTTCATGAGACAAGATCCTGAGAGCTGCTGAAGTCATTCTGAGTTCTGGACTAGATTTTATTTAGTCTTTTCTCCAGTGAATTTGCATGGGAGTTTTGTAGCATAAGGAACAGACTTCTCACTAGCCCAAAGACTTCAATGAGAATGGTAGATTAAAAGAGAGCTGGAGCAAGCTGTGCTATTAAAATAGGCATGAGCAGTTATTGTGATGATTCCTGATGGGTTTATGTCAATATAAGGATGTGCTGGTTAGTTTTCTCTAGCTACGTTTTCCTGCTGCCTACATGAAAAGTTGAGGTTTCATGCTGAGTTAACTTGGCTTGTTGGACCATGTGGATTGACCCTACTAAAAACATGAGTAATTTTCATCCACTGACTGTCACTTCTCTTTGGACAAGAACCAGTATTGGTAAGGGAGAGGCTTCCGGTGTGTGCTATACTGGTCTTTGCCTTTTCTGCTACTTGAAAACACAAACATAGAACTTCCAGCCAATTAATTGAATTTGCACTGTTCCTTCCCTACAAAAAGCTCAGTAGAGCAGATTGCAGTCTTTAACTCTCCCCAAAATCCCCTTATTTTTTTTCTTCCTGTCTATCAAATGATGTTGCTAAATATGCACGCAGTTGTTATCAAATCCCACGATGCAGTCATTGTTGACTTGTATTATGACATTCTGTGTTTGGGTGTGTTTCACAGCACTGGGGAGACTACTGAACAGAAATGTATTCAGAAAACTGTTGTAGAGTTGCTTACAAGTACGGAGAGTCGGATGTATCTTCATCATTCAGACTCAAACATGAATGAAAGCTGCTGATCTGGAGTAGCACTGGCATCTTTGACCCTATATGTTTTTTGCATCTCAAAAGAGAGAGGCAAAGGGTCAAACTGGCAAGCACACTTACTTTGTTTTTGTTATTTTGTTTTATCCATGGTGATACAGGGGAAGTTAGCTCATAGGTAGGTATGAGGGTGTAGTCCCCTTGCATTGCCATTTTGTATTGATTAAAGAAATTAAAGGATCTCTATGTATTTTTTTCTGTATGTTTTATTTAAAATTTTATTTTAAAATAACTTTTTTAAAAAAATATTTGTGTATATGCTTTTTTTTGTCACCTTTAAACATACTGCTTGTGTTTGTTATCTACAGACAGTTTCTATAAGTTGAAGCACCAAAGTAAACTGCTGAACCTCATTCATAGCACTCTGGGAAAAAATAATCACCCTTTGGCTAAAAAGTAGAATAAGTAATTAGTTTGTGAAGTCATGTTTTGGAGAACAAATTACCATGGAGAGTGAGTTTGCAACCACTCAGTTCAGGAACATTGCATATATATATTGCTCCCATGAGACCTAAAAAATAAATGTTTGCTTTAGGTATCTCAAAACATGCAGAGAACTCAGTGACCCATAGTCAGCACAGATCTCATCTGTCTGCAGTGAAGTTCTGCTGTCAAAGCCACAACACCAGTCTAGTTAAGAGCTTATATTCGCATCAGAGTTGCAGAAAGGTGTGTGCACAGTGTAGAGATCTTTATTTGGAGTTCGTTGGTGGTGTAACGAAGTCTTTTGCAATGGATCTCTTGATCAAGGTTAATAATCTGTACCGCTACATCAAGGCAAACATAAAGATTAACTATCCTTCACAAGAAAAGTTAGGAAGTAACTTATGTAACTAATTTCATATTGAATGAGTATTAAAATGAAGCTAGGTTTCTATAAAGGAATATATGAATGCATCAACAATAAAAGAAATGGGAGCTAAAGGACAATATGAGTAAAGAATGATTTTAAGATGTCAAATCTTAGCTTGTCCATACTATCTTGACTGGAAAAGATAATGTTATGATACGCCTAAAGCAGGGCACAGGCTGGGCTGGCTTTATTGAGCTTTGGATGGCTGATGTTTGTTTAGTCAGATTGCTTCCTTTTTCAGTGATTTGAAAAATAAGCTCTTTAGCTTAGCCTGTACTTGAAAGAAAACCACTATGTTTTTAATTATTTTTTAATTTACTTTTTTTTTTTCTTTTTTTTTCTCCAGAAGAAGGGAGGAAGGAGATATTTCCTCCCACCTCTAAACAGAGAGTTCCCTTGGTAGCCACCTCTCAATTTAGTCCTTAAAAATGATATTGATTTTGTCTGTGTGCCAGGTTTCTTGCAGTTATCACTTCAGATACTGATGTCCCTTGGTAGAGAACACGCAGTAATGTCAGGAACAGGAAGAAGCAAAGGTAACAACAAAGGCATCCTGAAGTGAGGGGTTCCTTTGATAAGACAAGCTAAATACCTAAAACAAAAATCTAATATCTCTTCTCTTTATTTTTAACAAGTCCCTTGGTAAATAATGGGGAAGCTTAAGAGAGAAATCTCCAAATGTCAGCTTGTCTGAAATATCCTGAACAGTTCCTTACTTTTTAAAAACAACAAAGTCCCTGCAGGGTAAATAAGAGAAAGCTCTCCTTCACCAGCAGTTTGCCCCCCAGCAAGTAAAGAGCCAACCCTCGTAAAGCTGGGCATATCTTATAAAGCATGTGTGTTAACGTAATCCCTTCTTGGCAGTGCTGCAATCAGCCATCAGTGAAGGAAGGGTGATCCCTAGATACTGAGGTTGGATTCTGTAGCTGTAAGCCTTGCACTTGCTTTCAAATATGCAGGCTCTTCACTTTGTCCTTCATAAAGTTGGCTGTGGTGTGATCACTTTAGAGAGACTGTAAAAAAAGTACTGCAAGAAAAGTCTACATTAATAGAGGGTGTAAAAATGGTAAAATATTACATTGGTAGCTCCCACAATGAAGAAAGACACAGAAAGATATCCAGTTCTTTGAAAACTCATCCTGCGGCCATTCTCAAAGCTAAATGAGTCCATATAAAAGAGCAGCAAAAATTGCAGTGATCAATTCTTTAGTAGCATACACAGACCAGCCTTTCCAGTGGCATTGGTCACAAAGCAGCACAAAGGTCCATCCTGTCCCTTCATCTGATTCCAAGCACTACTGCAGCAGCCAGACACCGTGGTGCCTCAACTAGAGCCTAGTATAGTAGACCAACAGGTGCTCTTTTGTCGTGTGTCACTTCCACTGTGTTTTGACCCAACAGAAGCAGGCCTAACTCAGTTCTATGTATATCAGTTCACAACATGCAAAGTCCAGTTTTCTATGAAAATGAGTTTAGTCTCCTACAGCTATTAACATTTGAAATAAGGTTCATTTCCCCAATTATAGCCATCACCTGTGTTGATTAAATTTGCACTCTTAAGTCATTTGAAATATTTAGCCCTACTGTCTGTAAATCTGGCAACATTAACATGTATTTCATCAGGAGAATCAGTAAATGAAAGTTTGCAGACTTCTTCTTATGCTAAGTTCCCTGATATTTGCTACTAGGGATTTAAAGAAAATATCTTTGTATAAATCCACATTTGCACCTGAATTCAAAGTACAAGGATTAAGGCCACAATCCAGACATTTAATCCCTTTGTGGATGTTCTGATGGTTATACATCCCTACAAAATGATGTAATGTTAAATACTCTCTCTATTTGCTATGGGCAGTCAGCAGTAACAACTCACTTTGAAGTGACCAGTTTGGAAGCAAGCTTTCAAACTTAATGTGTCTTGTTCTTTATTAAAGCGATGAAGCTGATGTTAGTAATTGACTAAATCCTGTTTGAAGTTCTGTGCTGGTCTAAGGCATCGACCAACAGTTAAATAGATGTGATGCTTTCCTCTTTCACTGTTCAATATTATTCATGTTCAATAATATTCATGACCTCACATTCATTAATATTAGCCTGGACTCCTCTGAAACTTTTCCACAATCATGGACAGCATCATGTCCTATGCTGAGCATTCTCTTTGCTTCAGTAAAGACAGTCCAAATACTGTATTCATTTAGTACACTGATGTTGAATGAATACTAGACTTCACATTAGAGTTGTTTTTGTTTCTAACAGGGAAATAGTCCCCCAGCTAGTAAACACCTAAATACAGGCTGAAACGTCTTTGTGATTTGTTTGCTTGTATGTTTGTTTTTGTGTTGTTGTTGTTGTTGTTGTTGGTGGTTTTTTCCCCTCTCTCTCTCCAGATGGCTTTAGTAAGGCTGCTCTTGTTTTGCATCTCGAGCTTCCCCTGTTGTACAGGGTCCTCAGTGATTACATACAGTGTATGTGCCTGCTTAAACTGTTTCCAGACACTCTGAATTTCAAATTTGAATCTTTTATGAGAAACACTACAATAAAACCCTCTGAAATTAAAATATAGACAGATATGTATGCTAAAGTAATCTATGTAGTTTTTCCTGAACATTACCTTTTAGCTTCTGTATTGTCAGTCAAGCACAAGCTGATACCTTGTGCTAGATGTAGCAACACTTCTTCCATTTACACTGGAAAGTTAAAAGAATACAAGGACTGCTCTGAAAGTAGTGCCTTCTATTTCATGATGTTGGCCCATGATGTCAGAGGCAGGTGTTGGTGGGATGGCAGTGGAGGTTGAACTTCCCACCACTATCCCATTAGGTTTTGTTGTCATGTGACAGATGGCAGCAGAGGGGCAGTCTGACAGAGCAACCTTTGACTTGGAAGGGTGTGTGGAGCAGAAGAGTGATTGAACTCCTCTATGCAGAAAAAATGGCACTCACTGACATTCATCAGCATTTGCTGAATGTCGAGGAAGACCAAACAGTCGGTGTGAGCACAGCGAGGCGATGGATGGAGCGTTTCAGCAGTGTTATGTTCCTCCATTACATTGCTAATCATATGGATGTTCTGTTCTCAGCTGCAGAGGAATGTTAGCTCAGGGCTTGTGGTGATTGAGCACCTGGTGAAGGGGTGTGGCTGGCCAGGGAGTGCAAGCAAATCGTTTGCACCTGTGCTCCCCAAGTGACTAGAAGGGGTGGACCCAGGTGCAATCACTCTGGGCTCATACAAGGGCTGGCCACGGAAGGAGAACATCACTTGGAGCTAGGCTGCTTCTTGAGCAGGAGTGCTGCATAGCCATGGATTCTCTTCACCAGTTGGGTGAGTTCTACTCTTCTTTCTGTATGTGGCTACTGATCTACCTGTGTGTTCTTTACCTGTGTATTGCCAAGAACCTGTCAGAACCATTTTTCTGCTTCGTGAGCAGAACAGATCCATTTGCACTTAAGCGAGCCTGAACGTGCCCAGTTGGCCTCAGCTCTTCCTCCAGAAGAGAGCAAATAACAGGATCGTCTGGCTTTCATTTGTTTCAGCCTACGTGTTCTGGGAGCTTTGTTTCTTCTCATCTCACTAAATACCCAAGCGGTAGTGGAACTGATCTATGCTTTTTGTCAATGCTTACCTAGAGGTAGAGTCAGAATCCTATTTCTTGCTCCTGGTAATGCCTGTAGAGACCAGAGATTGAAGTTTCTGCTATGTAGGTGGTTTCCACGATATTGTTTGCATATTTCTATCTTGGGAATTTTATATCAGGTGTCCTTTAGTTGAGTTGAATTTGCCTCCTTCTAAAACTGTTCATCTGTAATATAAAATATTAAATAATTGTTCTTATGGGAGGAAAGAAAATGGCAGAGAAGCTCCATATTTTCAATTGAAATGAATAATTTTTATCACTTGTATTGCTCTTATCCAATCATCTTCTGTGTTCTGTTTCATTTGTTTTGTTTCATTGTTATTTTTAATAGAAAGCCTGAACAGATGAGGTTACTATGCTTCTTTTTGTTTAACCTAATAATTAAAGGTGTTTAGTGTTTTATATAATGCGTGTGTGACAAGTGAGGGCTGTAATCATAGGTTATTATTTTTTCCTTCTCTTTATTTTCAGACTACTCTAATATTCTATTCTAAGTCAGTGTTACCAGCTCTTACTCTGGAATCACTGAATTCTACAGCATGTTTCTTCAGCCATTTCAAAAGCTTAACATGATGTGTTTATTATTAAGAGAAAAGGAATGGACAGCTTTCCCATGCTCTCAAATGCTTACTTAAAGGAATGATGCTTCCAGATTGTACTGTCTGAATTTGGATGTTAGAGATATTATAGAGCATTTCAGAGTTTGTGCTTGAGGATGAGCCATTGTTGACCCAGTAATACACAAATTGAATGTTAATGAAGAGTTTAATTTTTTTTTTTTTAAATTTAAGAAACACTATCAGAAGAAATGGCAGCACAAGCAATACTTTTTACAATTAGATCCGTAATTAAGGATAATTAAGTTAAGGACTTAAAACTGAAAATAAGAACTAATGCACAGATTCACTATTTATTGTATTAGTTAAAAACAAAAAACAAAGCAAAAAAAACCCCAAAAACAAAAAAACCCAAATAGATGGCATATAAGAGGAGAAGCATGGCTGGTAGTTCAGGAGCTATCCTTCCATATGCTCTGTAGCCAAGAGGATGCTTTGTACAATTCCTTTTATTCCAAAAAGGAATATGGGCTGTTTTTAGTGAGTCTTCTGAGCCTGTGACTTGTGAGATTGAGTTTGTAGTAAACTTCCAAATTGCTACAATGATTTGACTTGTTGAACTCAGATTACATGGCAGTTGTGTGGGGAGAGCATGGTCTCTCTGTTGTACTGTGCAAGGACTCAGATTTAACACACCATCTTGTAAGAGATGCTTACTGAAACATGAGCTGCTTTATTTATTGGTCTTATCAGTGATGTCTGTTGCTGTGCACACCTGTTGTGATATTTCAGAAGGGGTTTAGTTCAGACTGTTTTAGCTGCATGGTTGCGCTCTGTGCTCTTGAACATATCCTTCTCTTTTTACTGTTTGAATGCTTAACTTTTTTTTCCTCCCCACAATAAAGTAGTAGGTCAAGTCTTTGTTATGTGTTATCTTCTGTACAACTGCATGAAAGTATTCATGAAGCTTAATATCTCTCTTATTTTGAAGTTTAACAACTGAACATCTGTATGATCCCTTTCTCACTCCCTACTAATGTAGTGAAAACTAGTGGTATGTGAGAACAGAAAGTTTGAGAGCATCTGGAGGAAATCTCATTTAAAGTTTTGGAAGAGCTGTTCCCTAATAATGGATTTATTTCTCTTTGGAGAGTGGGTGGAAAAAGTTCTATTTCATGGCAGTCTCTTAGGTGAGCTCCATAGCCTCCCTTCTTGTTTTACGTACTGCATAGTCTTCAAGTATGCAGTGCTGCAACAAACAATTCACTTGTTTTTTGCATCACTTGTGATGTCCCATCTGCATGGTTTGCCCTTTGAATCTTCCGGCTTTGGCTTTAAAGTGGAGATACAAACTTCAATTGAAATCTTCAAATCCCAAGAGTGAGACAAGACTCGTGTACGTTCTGTAGGGAATACATACTGACTATGGAGATCTGCTCATTTCGACAGTATACCAGTCAACTCAATGCTTACTCTCACTTTGTCTATTCCACTGTTACTGTTTTATGTCCTGTTCCATTCTGCTAACAGCAGATTATTCTTCAGTGAGACCAGCTTCCATTTATTTCTTTCCAGATGTTAGTTCTGTCTCATCTCTTCTTTGTGGCACCTGCAAGTCAGAGAAACTTGGCGATTTTTCAACTACAGTGATCTTTGTTCTGCAGCCACTACAACATAAGAGGGCTGATCTCTTTGAATCTCCCGGGAACATTATGTTCTCGTAGGGCAGAATTTTTTGTCTTAGTCTCGTTAGAAAGGGAAAGGTGTTACTGCATCTTTTACATGAAGATGTGACGTGTCAGCAGGTTTAGTTTAATTCCCTGTTGGTTTGATAGCAGTGGAATGATCCACTCTTGCAATTGCCATCAGCAAATCCATGAAGCTGCTAATTAGGAGCAGATTTACAGGTGGGGTAATGTCTTTAATTAAACTAAGTATACCTTGAAAAAAAAAAAAAAGAGCAGATAAGCTTTTGGGCACGTAAGTAGTTCTTCAGGTCTGAAACAGAAGCAGTAAACTTCAAAGCAAAATTCAGGTTGGAAGAAACTGCTCTGACTTAATTAGGGAATGACTTACAAAATACTTCTCAAAGTCTGGCAATTTGGATTCATAACTTGGTAGATATCAAAAACCATGGATTCACTGGAAATCCTGTTTTACTGGTCCGTTACCTGCAAGTCCCTATCCCTTGCCCACTCCCATCTACTATTAAGGTCACATTTGTCCACAAGGTATAAATTATATCTAGCTCTATCCCCTGGAAGGCAATGACCTCTTACCTCTCCTCCCAGATGAGTCTCTTTGATTCCCCAGGCACACCTTCATCTTCTCCTGGATAGTTTAATACATATTTAATGGAATTCAGAGTAATTGATCTCAATGTCTTAATTACATTTCACTTTTTAATTTTATTCTTTTGTTTCAGATCTTAACAACTACTTGCATGCCAGAAATCATGCTTCTTCCAGTCCTGTAGGTCTAATAAAAATATTTTCTTGATCTATAAAAGATTGGACTGTATTTTTAGACCACTTATCTGTAGTGATTTCCAAGGCTTACTGCCCTCCACTTCCTTGTAACACATGTATGATGGTACTCTTTTTATTTTTTAGTATTGCTTTATTTTGTCCTCCTCCTTCCTTTATTTAGTAGAGTGGTGCTCAATCATAAACATTACCGTACACATTAAATGTTTCTGAGCTTTAATATCAACAAGCATTGGATGAAACAACTGTTTAACTTCCTTCTGAAACAGGAATCAAAACACATTTCAAGGGTAAAATAGATGTTTCAGTTTTATGATATTACTGTGTAAATCTGTATAGCTGTAAATAATGTACTATAAATTGAAGATTTCTTATTTGTGATGTTCAATTTTTCTATCACAAAGTGATGGAAAAAGGACCATAATCATGATCATTATGGTGAGATGTCTGACAGCCTTGTGCATCTGCAAGTGGCTTTGATAATCTTGAAATCTTGAAGTACCATATACAGCTATATATATCTATATCTATCTACTTATATAATAGCTATATATATCTATCTACTTATATATATAAAAATATACACACTTTTTTTTTTTTTTAATCAACTGTTCTGATATGAAGGTATCAAGGTATATCAGGATATAGAGCTCTGGATTTGAGTGACTCAAATTGCCTCTACTATTGCAGAAGCAATAGCAAGGGAAAACCCATTCTGACATTGTCTCCTGTGGAAAGCTATACTGATTTGAAATTAAATCAGTTATATTCAACTCCTGTTTCTAATAGGAACAGGGTCAAATGTGTCTGCTATGTTATGAACGTGAAAACTTGCCCTACTAAAGAACAAGACTATGTTCTAAAAGCTGTAAGAAACATAAGGCAATTGATTTTAACAGCTTTTTTGTACCCGGAAATCTCAATTTCGAGATAATTAAAACTGTTTTCCAAACCTGTTTACCACCAATAGCTGGAAAACAATACTTTGGATTTAGAGTACAGTTTCTTGACAGTGTTATTAACTAACTTGCAGAGAACTGCTCCATTAAACTATTTAGAATGAGGCTCTAATACACTCACCCCAAGTACTGTTGGTTTCATTTTTCAATATTAGTTGCATAAATGATCCAATGCCAACTCTTGGAGTGAATAAAACTTGCTGTCAAATCATGAGATGTTACGTATCAGGCTACAATTCCTTCTTGTAAAAGAACCTGATTTTTTTTTTTTTTTGGTCAGATTACTTGGTTCTGACTTGTGCCTCCTCTGTTAAAATCATTGTTGCGTAGTCAAAGTGAATCAACTTAGTGCTGTTTTGGGAAACAGGCATATGGAAGAGTCCTGTATCCGTCAGGTGGAGTGGTAAGTCACTCCTCAAGTGTTCTCATAACTGAACCTTGATAACAATAGTAAGGGCAAAAAATGTCTTACTAAATACTTGAAACATCTATATCTATTTTTAATTTCATACTAGCCTTAGGCAGGTTAGATATGAAAATAAATTAAAAATAATTTGATATGACTTTCAGTCTTTCAATTAAATTATGACCTGCAATATGCTACAAAACAGAAAAAAGCAGAGGAGTGTGCATAAGTGTATGCATTCACCTGTGAAGGAACGAGCTTACTTGTCATTATCAAAGCAAGCTTTTTGGCCAACTATTTCTGTAGATTATTTTGTAAAATGAGAAAATGTTTGGCAGCCACAAAAAATTAAAGTTGAAATAAATAATGAATCTAAAAAAAAAGAAATAGAGCTGGATGATCTTTCAGACCTCTGGCAGAACATATGTGGTGTCCAGCAGTCTGCCTCACTCTTTTCCCTCAAGCCCCCTGAAAGGTACTTTCTCACACAACACTGTTAGCAAGGTAAAAAAATTCTGTTAATAATGCATGTCTCATTACATTTCAAATACCTGGAGGAATATTTCTCTATAATTCTTTGTCAAAAGCAATAACTGTCCAGGAATCGGAAGCAGAGAAGAAAATAGCTTGTGGTACTGTGAGCGTTTTGACGCTTGCTTGATTCTCTAATCATGATTCAGTGCCTGAGGTCTACTATAAAAACACTTTTTTTCCCCCTCATTCTTAAATGGAGAAAATCAATTGGTTTAAGGTTATTATGAAAATATTTGCTTATCCAAAACCTAAACACAATGATAATTTTGATGGAGGTACTTGGCTTGCAAGGATTTTCTAAAAGGTTGTATCCTGGGATTATTACCAGGTACAGGAAATACAGAACAGACAGTTCTTCATATACTACTACCAAGGTGTAGCTTATTCCTTTAAAAGAAAGCATAAATAATTTCAAAAATATCACTTTAATGTATCAGTACTGAGCCAAGGGTTTTTTTTTTTTTTTTAAATAAGTCTGCAGCATCCCATACTTGCATTTATTACTTGTTTTGAATGCATCAGGGTGTGAGGTGCTGTTGGTTGGATGTTGAATGAGTTATCTTTTTTGATATATTTTTACCCCCTGCTTGTGACCCAAATTTTTTGTTAAGCTAGGCTGTTCTTTGATTCATGTTTCTTGTCAGTGACAAGGCTAGATATCTCATGGGTATCGGAAGCTTAACCTTTTATTCCTCTAAAATAAAATTATCCAGTGGATATTCTTAAGGCAATTCAACGTCATTTATTTGCTTGCACTTCTGCATATGCTTTGTGCGCCACCTTGTTTGTGAAAGTTAAACTAGTGACTTCTGGAAAACTTCCAACTTGCATGTATTATCAAAATACACGTTAATGTGCTTAAAGTTTCTCATGTAGTACAGAAACTGCCTTACTGGTTTGTGTGCAGAGTGGGTGTGTGATAAGCATGTGATAGTGATAAGCATGTGTGTACAAAATGGGGGCATTCCTCTACCATCGCCCTTCTGCTGGGGACTGCCCATGGGAAGGGTTCCCAGCACTCTTGTAAGCACTTCTTCACCTGTTCTTATTTCTCCATGTGTATGCATAAGCATTTTGTTGACACCTTTTCTCTCTATACACTTGCATGAACCTACTGAATTCTGTGGGATAAAAAGGCTCATGGAATACTGACTGCAGTATGAAGACTTCCTTCTGACGCAGCATCATGGTGTCCCTTTATGCTATCATGTGTATGTTTATTTGTTAACAGAAAATATGTAGAAGGGTCTTGAGAATATTGAATAATAATTTTCTCTTTGATATTATCTAATTGAATTACACTTTCTTTCCAGCTATGAAAGAAAGAATAAAACTTATGGACTCCTTCACTGTTTCTCCCAAAATTGAGCCTTTCAGTTAGACTCATTTCTGCATTTCTTTGGTTGCCCATTTTTCAATATTTGACAGAGGTTTAGAAATATCAGTGATAAATTCCGAAATCAGGTTGCTGTGTGGAGGAGAAAGACCCTTGCTTATTAACCTGAAAGTTAATTTTTTTTCTTTGTAATAGTTTTATTCTTAATAAGCATCAGAAATGTCACATGGAGATCTGGAAACTGCGCTTTGTGACTTCTCAAAAATCTACATTTTTAACTCTGATTAAAAGAAAATAATGTATTTTGTGACTGGGAAATGCTGTTAATAGTCAACAGATCGATGAGGCAGGACTAACAATGAGAAACAGAAAGAAAGGTTTTTTGTCTGTATTTTCTGAGTACAGTGATGCTTCATGTAATTAAAATTCAGCCAGTATTGAAATTGGTAGGCTGGTTATGATATTGGTTTGGGGTATCTTTGTGTTAGAAGGCTAAGTAAATAACTGGAGAACAGAAATCATTAAGAGTTCATGGGAAAACTAACTCTGGTGTTCAGAGGTAGTATTTTGGGTATCATTTAATATTAATGGAAAACTTACTGCAGCAAATTTAATCAGAAGGTCAGTCACAGCTCAGAGTTAAATAGAAAAAAACTATCCTATTTAGCCCTGCTTATCTTGAATTATGGAAAAAAAATCATTTTATATATATATATATATATATATATATATATATATATATATAGCATGTGGTCTAGAATGTTTGGAATGCTGACAACAGCTCTGTCCTTTGTTGAATAACTACCTACTTATGAAGAAGTTTGAAAACGTTTCCACTTGTTAACAGTGTCCAGTGTAACAAATTAATGTTCATTTTTCCTTCTCTTGCAGCCTGTTGCCTCTAGCCAGAAGCCTCTCTTTGTGGGCAGAGTGAGTCTTGTTTCTTGTCATTCACCACAACGTGAGTATCCATTTTCTTTTCTTTTTTTGAACCTCAATGTTTTTAGGAATGTTTCTTTTGAAAGCTTTTAAGTACATCTCAGATAATGCAGAACAAAACAGTCTGTTTTCCTTCACTTGTAAGAAAGAATTAAATTTCAGGGTTCTTTTTAATCTAATGAATACTATATTATTCAAAATAATTAAATGTTTTGCAGCCCACAGAGTGTTTGATCCCATTCTGCCCTAGTTCTGGTGAGTTGCATACTGAGAGTAAGAGATTAACAATGCTTCTGGAAGTATGAGAGTGCGTTAAACTTGTGTAGGCCAGATAAAATTATCTGCAGTGTATAAACTAGTGAAGAACTCAAAGCTATTTCTTCTCTTGAGATGAAGAAGAAATTGAGTTTATTTGAGATGCTTGAAAGCTTGTTCTTAGATTTGTTTTGAATCTGAAGGTATAAACAATTAATGCTGGATTTAGATTGATGTGTAAGCCAAACATTACGTATTCCTTGCAGTTCTCTATAAAACTTAGTCATTCTATGCTTTCTCACATAAATGTCATACCAAATAAAACCCTGCTTACATCTTCTGAATGATGAGAATAATTCAGAGAACAGTGATACTGTTCCATTGGGATTTGTATACTGTAACTACAATAACTACCCAAGAGATCACACAGGCATGTGAGCTTGACCGTTCTGTATGTGTGGGAAGAGGTTTGAGGATTTAAATATATCCATATAAACAATTTATGAAGTTTTAGTCCAGCTTTCCCTTTCTTCTCAGCATGTTCATTATTATGTGAGATTTTTCTGCCTTATGTTTGTTGTTACAGTGACACTGAAGTAGTGTCAAAAAAATCAACTATGTTATATGTTAATAGACTGTAATTCATGTGCTTACGTCTAGGTTCTGTGCACTTAGTTCTATAAAATGTTCTTAAATATTTTTTTCATTGGTTTATGAAAAAACTTCAGTGATGTTTTTTAGTGTAATTTCATAGTTCCCTGTTAGAATGGACTTCATGACTTGGTCACTTTGAGCACTGTCAGAAAAACAGACTGATAGCTCTGAGATGGGAGGGAAGTTTTCTCATCTCAAATATCGCTTCAGTAAGGACATTCCTTAGTCTGAAATAGAAATTTTACTGTCTTCTTTTTAGGAAATATTAAGATTATATTTTATTCCACAAGAAGTATTTGTTGCACCAATACATTATCAGGATATGTGAACAGTTTTAGAATGTGAGAAAGTGCATTATTCTCTATGGGAGCCAAATGTATACTTCAGTAAAGGTGGATGTCTGGCCTTTCAGATATTCTGCAAGATATATATTATTTGCACTGCTCCTCTGGCAGAGTGAAAAATGTTTAATATAAGTTTTTCAAGGCATGGAAATAGTTTGGAATTCATCTTCCTGTGAATATTTGTTTGAGGGGAGCACTTAATAAAAGTGAAAATCTAGATTTCTTCTGAAAGTCTTTCTACCTTTTCTTACCAGTGACAACGAAACTTTAAAGTTATAACCCATCTTTCACAATTGGCCATCAGTAACCAGGCAATATGGGTAAAAAGAGAGATCCGAAGTCGCTTTTCAAGGATCCTATTGAAGGGACTACTGAACTTGTGTTTGGGGTATGCAGTATTTTCCTTGATACCATCTTTTGCAGGCAGAGTTTGTCGTTCTCAGCGCTTAGTTAGGAACAATGAAGGTGAAATTATGGGTAATCAGGGGCAACTCACTGAAATTGTTATTTTATAATAATTTCATTGTGTGCTTGAATATTTCATTTTGTTCTGATTTAAGATGACTTTATTTACCGATGTGATATTAATTATTTGGGGGTTGTTTTTAATGACTCTTACAGATAAATGGCATTCTTAAGAGAGGGGAAACTTTATGCTTCATTATGGATATATGCACTAGCTATTCACAGCAGAATGTCAATCAGAAAAATTTTTAAGTGAGAAACAAGCAACGTTAAGATGCGTCATATGCATTAAACTCTTTTTCAGTGCTCAAATAACAGTAAATTAGCAATGACAATTTCTGTAATTTAAGAGTATGTGCAGATACTTAACTAATGGAAATCATCAAATGAATTCTGTCCCTTTACTGCTTGAAATTGTAACATCTGAGCTCAATCTTCTACAGTCAACGAAAGATTAATTTTTCGGTCTTTATTTACTTAATCTACTTTAATTTTCATATTATGCATACTTATATGTTTCCACTTTTCCAAGTGATTCTGGCCTTATGAGTGAATGTAAAGATGAAACATAATTAAAAGACCTAAACAAGGTCTCATCTTTCTCAAAGATCTCCTCATCTTTAACTATAAAATGGCCTGCCATCTCATTCGTATTATAAGAAGCATTGACCAGCGTCACAACTGTGGACTACAAAGGCACTGATTTAATCTTTTAAGAGGTATCTGAGGAATTAATTTGCTTCTAACCCCATAAACCTGTTCAATATTTGCAAGTTTTGAGTATTGTGTCATACCATCAAATGGTATTTGAACATTTAAAAAATTATATCTAATGCAGTGGCTCTGAAATCAACAAGAGTTATGTCATTGTATTCACTGGGTCTGGAATAGCTTATAATGTGCTAGAAGTTTGTTCTTGGGGGGAGAAAGAAACCCAACAAACCAGTGAGGCAAAACACATACTTTGAGCTTTTGCGAGTTTGTTTCATATTTGGTGGGTGTTTCCTTGTTCCTGAACTTTCATAAATCAGGGCCTACAAAATCATTTTGTCCATGACTGTCACGCCAAACCGTGAAGAGATCCTGTCTTTCTCAAGTTTCTTACACCTCGTTGTACTCACAGTTTTCTCAGCATGTTGGTTTTTACAGAAGGTACCTGGAATGCCATTATTGCTTTGCATCTGCCTATGATTGTGTTGGGAAGCCCAAGTCCTGCGATGTCTGCCAGAGATGGCATTGATAGAAATTATAGTGTAGGCAGGACTTGAGCCTGAGAGCATTTGAAAGAAGTGATGATGGCATCACGAGACATTTCACTAAGTAGAAAGTCTTGCATCTTATTTCTAACCCTGTTTAAATGCTTACGGTTGTGATAATAACATCTTGATAGTGTGGCTACTTCGTGAAGTTGGGTACAGTGATCTGCTTCTGGTCTTACACTAAGTCGAAACATGTTGCATAGTAACAAGGTTTTGATTTGCAGATATGAAAACAATTTCTACAATTATTATTTTGCTGAAAAAAATCAGAGAGTCTTAAATATAGATGCTTTTTTTCCTTAAGTCTCTACTGACTGAATAAAAATGTAATTGGTCACGAGGTCTGAGGGGTCTCTGTTAGATATGTGGAGTAAAAGTGAGATACAGGCAGTATTAAATCAACTAAAAATTAGCAGGCAATCCAGATTCAGTGCCTGTCCATTTATTATGATATGCGTTTACTAATGGAGCAGATTGGCTCTTGGGATTTCCGTCCCTGGGAAAAGTAGGTGCTTTCATGTGTGCTTCCTCTAAGATCAATATGGGAATTCAAAATAACAGAAGCACAGCAGGAAATGTAGCACCTTTTTATTTGAAAAATAAAAACAAAATAACTGATTCTGCCTTGAAATCTTCTACTTCAGTGCCTTTCTGCCAGCAGTTTAATGTTTTCACTCCAAATTGCATAATAATTGCATTTTAAATAATATTTACTATTTTATGTAGTTCAAAAATACAAAGCTGTGTTGATATTCACAAGGACAGAGGATGAAGAACTTTTCCATAGGCTTGTCAGACATGCAATGCAGCAGGATGGCTGTGCATCTGACAGTGCTCATGTTCCCTTGCATTTCCATGCCAGGAGCTTACAGGGTGGTTCTGCACCTTCCCCCCCACAGTGACCTCTGCTTCAGATACGGTTGCTGAACTTCTTTGGTACTAAAGGCAGTGCTGTCTGCTGGAGCCTTAAAAATTACTCTGTTATCATCATACAAAAATGATGGCTAAGCATCCAGGGAAAATAGCTAACTCTTTTCCTTGTAGAACTGCAGAGAGGATTTATAAAATTAAGGGGTGGCATTGGGAACTTTCAACCCCAAAAGATGTTTCAAAGTGTCAGTCTTGGAGTTCTGGGGTGCTTTCACCTGAGAATGCAATGGCCACTGCTTGTACTGCATTTAAATTAGCATTTCTTCTGTAATCCAAAGAAAACAGTTTTATTGAAATTAGTGGTAAAGGGTACTACGTATCAAGATAGGATTTTACCCATTTTGTTTAAATAAAATTAGCTTAAATTGCCTAGCACCTTTAGTTTTACATTCAGTTGTGCAACTGACAGGTGCTGGTAATTAATCCAAGGGTGGTTTTCTAGATGAAATATTATGTGAAATGGTATTTTATGCAGAGGAGGTTGAAACAGGTCAAATTGCTTCACTTAGTCTTGTTTTCATCATGCGTTTCTACAACTAGTGCGTATTGACAGACTTAACTGCAATTGCTTGAAAAGCTAGAGGCTACTTATTTTGCCAAAGACTTTTCATACAAACATGGCATTAATGATGTGTATTTTAATTAAGTTGGAGATAGCTTTTTAGCAGGCTATTTGCTGAAACTTGACAAGAAGAAAACAATAATAGTTGAGCTGATGGAAACAGAATTTGTGAAAAGAATGAAGTGTTTACCACTGTGTTTTATTTAATGCAAGTAATAATACACGGAGAACATTTCAGGCTTTGATAATAGCAGCATGTCAATGAAACATGTGGATTAAGCCTTCCAAAAAGAGAACGTACAGCTTTGGTTCTCAATTCCTTTGGGCTGCTGAAGATAATGAGTGACAGATTTCAGAGCCTTCCTGGAGAGGATTCCTTCTTATGTCTAAAGTGGCTCTTCAGACTGTCTTAGGACAGTCACTAGCCATGTTTTATCTTCCTGTGAAGCACTGAGCAGTTGAAGCAATCTTGATGTAATAAGTAATTCCTTTCATTTCCTAATTACACCCAGCTTCTGATTACTCATAATGAACAAGCTATGTGTTAGTACAGCTCAACGCTGCCCTGTCTACCACAAAAGGATGGCTCTGCTGGTTTATTTTCTCTGTAGTAAAGCACAGGATGTTTGCAATGCTATAGATCATTCTGCTCTCTTTGTGGCAGACTGTGTTTCTGGGTTTTGGCCTTCCGAGTGAATTCTAAGTTGATTATCTGCGTTGGAAATGTTTTAAGGAGACATATGGACCTTTCTGGTCTGAAAATCTATTGTAAGATTGCCAGTTTGCAGTTCATCTCCCCAGGGACAGGTGGTAGTTTTAGCACACAATGTGAAGGCTTAACGAATGGTTCCAGGACTAATCACTTTTCACTTTAGATAGAGGGGGGAAAAAGCACCACCTAAACACCTTTGTTCCTTTGTGGTATCCTTCAGGCACTGGATTGGTGTCCTGCCAGGGTCTGAAGCTCCTGCACTTAATTGTTTCTCCTTCAAATCATGACCTGCTAGGTCTGATCAGATTCCCTGATCTTAGTCACTCTCTGTTGAAAAAGACGACACAAAATAAATATCCTCTGCACTTAGAAATCATTGCAGTTAACCTGTGAAGCTTTTTTTTTTTTTTTTAATTACCCTGCTTTAGGCTTTGGATATTACAAAATATGTAATGCTGTGGGAGTCCACCCATAGCCTTTCTTATTTGAGGTGATTGCAGAAATGTTGTGTGTTCTTGGTGGTGTGTTTCTGGTTGTTGTTGTTTTTTTTCCCTCCTTATAAATGTATGGGAGATAAAGGTGCAAATGGAGGAGGGGGAGGTGGGTGTGATATTTTCTTCCTGATGACGTGAAAAGCTGTGAAGAAAGAATGGTTGGATCTGGGTGTCTGTGTTCTTTAAAATGGCAATCTCTTAAAGACAGATTTAAGTAATAAAGAATAAATTTTTAATTAAATACAGCAGGCATTTGTGTATTCATTTGTTCATTAAGCTTCTCTCTCTTCTCCTCTGTTTCTGCAGTAGTTATACGTGTTACAGAATTTTAACCACAAAAAAGGAAAAAATAGGCCAAATACATAAACTAATGTGCTACTTTTTTCTTCCTCTCTGTTTGGTGGAGTAATTAACATAATGAATCAATAATGGCTGTATTTTTATACTGTAATCTGGTGAAGTCGATAATGCTTTATGGCGGAATAACGGATCTTCTCAATAGCTTTGGTATGGAAAGTGTAGCTAATAAAATACAGAAGATAAACTTCTAATTTTTATTTTTTTAAATATAAGGGTAATTTGTTTCCATCAGGAGATATTATCTATCCTTCAAGGATGAGTGGATATAATTGCCCATCATGTAAATATCTTGACAAGTAGTGCCCTTAGGCAGCATGACACTAATAATTATTCAATTACAGACTTTCAAGTTTTCAAATGGCCGGAGTCATTACTGTACACCTTGTTAATAGAAATAAAGGCATAGTTTCAAGACAGGAAAAATATTATTCTTGAGAAAATGAGTTCATCTTTACAATTAAGGTCTTTTTTAATTACCTGTAATGTTTTTAATAACCGTGATTGAATCCCCTTAACAATAATTGCTCTGTTTACTAAAAAAGAATTATATATTAGGAC